TTCTTATTTTGGGATGTATATTTTGAATTTTAGGTTATAATTCGTCTTCGAATTATAAAGAGATGAAATGAGATGAACTTAGTTTGACCTTACGTAATAACATATTCATGAATGTTTCAGTTATGTTACTTAAATAGACTTATACGGAATATGACAACTTTTTAAGTATTGAGCAGTCTTGCTAATTTGTAAGAGAAAATGGCATACAGACTATAGGAGTTTTGTTGTTTCCTATAAAACATTTGACAGAGCTAACAAAAAAGTATTGTTTAACTTGCTAATGATCAACATTTAACTATTCTTGAAATTTTGAACAACCGAGACCAATCTAGAATTCATCATACTTTCTAGTCATCAAAAGAGCTTAAGAAAAATAAGAGTTTAATTTATATCCGTAGTTTCGGTCTAAATGTGTGTCATTTCAGTTCCTGAAATGTCAGGTTAGCACTCCGTTAGGGATTTAATCTATTCATTAGGTTTTCTAACATGTGCTTTGTTTAATAAGAATTCAGTACTAAATTCTTATGAGTTTCAGTTAGACTATGGGTGTAACGAACAAAGACCAGATGTAATGGTGGCATATTTGGGAAAGACACAGTTTATTAACAAAACACATACACCTGATCTTCAGCCTTTCATTTGAAAAACCATCAGATTACTGACTGTCTTCCAGTCTTCAAACGCTTTAATTGTGTCATGCATTTCAATCCGACACTGGGCGACACAGTGGTATGTTAGAACCAACGTTATAAGTAATATACACGACACCGGATACGTGAGAAACATTTACGAAAAAAAAAACGAGATTTAAATGGGCTCTAATTCAAAATTGAATGAATGCTGACTTTATTAATGCACGTGTGGTAATCATCGTTACCATGACTAAGCGATTTTAATAAAATAATCAATGAAAACCAGAAGATACTGACAAACTGTTTCATCCTGCTATGAGACATCTTAGCATTGAAGCTCCTTGTTGACACTACCACCAATCGGACCTCATAACTTCAGTTTCCTGTGATTAGTATTCCGTTATTTATTCAAGTGTTTGGACTATTTTTTTATTTATCAATATTTACTATATGCAGCATCATCACATCTAATAGACATAATTAAAAATAAAGTAAAAAGTTTTGATTTGATACAATAGTCATTAAAATTGAACTTACCTTAATTGTTTTATTTTGTAGTCTCATTTTATTGAGAGCACGTATTGCTCTTTCAGCATCGGAAGCATCTACATAATTCACAAATCCATAACCTAAACTTTGACCTAAAGTTAGATTTTCAGATAAAAATATTACACACATTAATGAAAATTCTTTCTTTTCAGATTTCAAATAATTATAAATCAAATTATTATAAACAGATCAAGATTTAAAAATAATTCGAGAAACCGTCTGCAGATTTTACAATATTCATTTCACTATGACAGTTTGACAAGATGCGACAGTTGTAGTGTTTTAGATTCCCCAATGGAATGTGTATTCATACTGGATCTTCAAATGACTGATTTTATATATAGCATTAGATGAAATCACAGAAACTTTTCAGTAGTTCATGCAGTGCGATTCAATTAAAGGTAATGTTACTTTAAAAGGTCTATACAAAAAGATTAGTGAGTAATATTAGGTAACTAGTATTTTATTTGCAATTTGTGGTAAATTACTATCGATTTAGTAACTATCTTAACAAACTCACAGAATATCTTAATTCTAAAGTTTCAGATATACATTACAGATAACTGAAAATTGGTTGTAAGAAAATAATTTCCTATATTGCATTGTAGCATTAAAAATTAAAAATTATTTTGTAAATTTTAATGTTTCGATTCGCAATATGTAACTAATTTATTTTGAATGATTAGTAAAATTCATTGATTTATCGATGGATCAGAATAACTGTCGAGTGTCGTTTGCATCTGTCCCTATTGCCAAGATTTAAAAACAATTCGAGAAACCGTCTGCAGTGCGATTCAATTAAAGGTAATGTTACTTTAAAAGGTCCCTATTGCACTATAAAATGAACCTACATTGAATCCAATAATTCAGAGATTCATTGATTTTTATACCCTAGATACATAAATATCTGGATTCGTGTTGATCGATCTTACGTTTCACAGACGTTAAGTGTGCAATTGGCAGTCACGTGCTTCTTGTTGTCAAAGCTATAAAAGATATGGATAACGCCTGTTTTCTATGAAAATATTTCAGTTTGGTTCTGTAAATTTTAGAGTCAACAGATTACGTGGGCATATAAATAACCATGATCATTCAGATGATCTGGATGTTGATTTTCTTTACATGGTGAATAAACATAACAATCATGATGAGGAGTAGTCACTTCACAAAAAGTCTCACCACGGTGAGCAAAATTCTATCAATTTGTCTACGGATTATAAAGATAATGACTAAGCATTTGTTCGCTATTCGAATTTATACGAAGTCATGTCGTATTACTGCAGTCAGCATTTTATAAACTCAACTGCATAGTATTTAGCACCGGTTGAATGAGCATGCACTGAATAGACAATTTTCAAAAAAATTAACGACAGCAATCAAAAACAGCCGTCGATAATATGATTACATAAATAAGGCAATAGGGTACAGAAATCAATAACCAATATATTACCGTTACCTCTATCAACTGAGCCATAATATAGTATTCAAGCAGAACGAACGAACGAACCATACTAATTGCCTTAGTCAGTCTTACAGGTTTGTGTCCGGTAATCCTTCTAACCAACGAGTTCCAATAGACTCTTCAAAATGTGAGTTTTGTTTCGTTGACGAGTGCTAAGTATCAGAGAACTAAGATAAAGCATGTTTTTTTATCAACTATCATCAATCACCCTAAAATGAATGAAGATTCATAATATAAATCATCATAAAATTGTATATCCAATAGGACAGTTCAATGAGGTAGAAAGACGGTTCTCATCAATTTGATTAAGTTTTGATATCAGATATAAAATTCAAAGACAACTCACGAATGAAAATCAGAAAAATTCGTAACAAACATATTTGACTATGGTAAGTTGTTCGTTTGATAGATTTTTAGCTTAAGAATTGTGGCAATCCATTTACATTTCGCACTGCTAATAATTAATTAATAATTAAAGCCAATCCTGATTAAGTCGTCATTTATAAGACGCAGTTTGAAGTAGTTATGTAACGATAGAACAGATTTTACAGTGATAACATTTCAATCACTGTTCTTAAAGCTTACTAATCTTCTATAGGGACCATGAGCTAACGCATTTTTTGTGACGCCATTCAGTGATTTTCACAATTTAGTTATACTCCCTCTTCACAATTTCTTACACAGCTGGAATCTGATTTGTTCTCCTCGATAGTCCGTTGTTGTCGATGTTATTTGTCCAACGAGATCCAAGGTATCTTGTTTAGACTGTCTATATAGACTGTCCATTATACTAGTCATTTCGGAATAATGGTATTCGTAGTATTCAGGTTAACACCGGAATTTGAGTTCATGTTCAAAATATTTCAGAATTGTACAATATTATCTTTAAACAAGAAATAGGTGTTATTGTTGGTTGATAAGATTTCTGATGACGAGAAATGGGAAATAGCTGTATAAATTCATATGTCTATCACAATTTCCCTCATCAGTCTGTATATTCTCGTGCCATTTGCTTTCAAGGAAAGATAACAATATCATTAAATAATAATAAACATGTTTTTATTTGTAAAAAAGAAATTATATATATATATATATATATATATATATATATATATATATCCAGTTATCGATTGCAAAGCACATGATATTCATGTAGAATCTTGTGGTAGAGATGAAATTTGCTCTTGTAGCCTGTAAACCGAAAATCAATTAACATTATTTGTTAACATAAAAATAAAATTATTCAGTAAACAAGAACATCGTATTATCTTGATTTGTTCAGTGAATTGGAAATGCAAATAGATCACTCTAAAATGTTATGTACGATGTATTATAATGAGTTTTACAAAGATCAAGAATAGTTAAGTAGTTTTTAAATATACTGTTAGCTCCCAAAATAGTTGAAATTATTACATTTTAAGTGCTGACTGAATAATATATTGTTTAATATCAAATAGAAATAGCTTTATATTTAGTAATGATCAGTCCTCAATAAACAGTTCAACTATATTCACAAAATTTCATCATGGATTATTATTCTTGAGTATTTATTATTCTTTTCCAGTGTTCTAATTTTACGGTGTCAACTAAACTGCTTAATTTTAAATACTGGTTTGCTTCAAGTGCATATTACCATTTGAAATGCTAAGATTGTGAACATTAATTTTGATAATTTATGAATTAATAAGATCTAGATCGATCTGCCTAGATGGATATCGTTTAAATGATTTGTTCCCATGTATATGTGTTGATAACATTTTAAAGTCTATTAATTTACTAGAATAATGACAATTTGCTGATCTATCGTTCTATTTACGGTGATTAGTTCAGTCGAAAACATCAAATTATGAATACATTACATGAGAGAATGGCAAATCAGTGGATAAAGATTTTAAAAACATAATCATATGATATTTGATATAGATGTATTTGAAAGCAGTGAATTTAAGATGATCAGCTTCCAGAAGTTGAAATTTCGTATTTACAGAATAATTATAAAAAAATAGGTTCCAGTTAGTGCTAAGAACTATATAGTAAGATCATGCGAATGTCATCAAAACACAGTTCTGTGGAAAATAATCGTTTACTGATTAGTGACTGAGGTTTATGTAAGGTTTTTAAAGTAGTTAAATTGAGGATATGGATCTCAATAGTATATGTGCTCTGGCTTCCTACACGTTGCTTTCAGCTTTTTTAAATCGCTATGTTAGTTAGTTAATAGTAACCTCTCTTTTCGAAGTTACAATTCAACAAACTTATGGTTACTAATGTGCTGCTTATTATTTTTTAATTGTCTCTTTATATCAATAATTGTTGTCATTATATATTTTATTGTTTTTCTACTTGTGTTGTTACAGTGGACCTCGTCAAATCTACACGTTTGTTAATTGTTGTTAAAAAGTTTTGGTAAATTTCTATTAAACGCTATCAATTAACCATCAATTTCATTGTCAAGTATATCCATATGTCTTTACTGGCGTATATGTACCGTTTTATTTCCTCCATTGTACTTGTGAGATTCATTCATTTTCACAAATCACAATACAATTCTGTCTTTTTTATTATTATTTTGGAAATTATTGTTTGTTCTGATTTTTCACTACTGGGATTTATCCAAAAATACTGTTAGATAATCTTAACTATCTTTCGATAATGCCCTCGAATTCCTTGGTTCGGCTAAAGTGGGGAGTCCGTCCTCTTTTTCGAAACGCTTTCATATGTGCATGAGTATATAGCCACTGTCAGAGGAAGTCCCACTCACTAACTTTCCGTGGCAGTTCTTTTTACGAAATTAAGAGGAGGAAAAGCGCGTTCATGGAGTTTTAACCTAACTGGTCGGTAAGAAAGATCCATCCAATGGAGTTGATAGGCCATTGCTAACCAGTGATGCACATAGGGTCTATGACCCCGGGGGGAATAAATGGCTTTCGAACCCCTTGATGGTGGCCGGCTACCATGAAACTCTATTCGATGACAAAATCTTTCTTTTTGATATTTGATGCATAATTGTTTAAATCAGTCATCGACAATGTAAGACTTAATCTATCTATCTATCCAGATTCGATATCAACATATCTAGTGAGGTAAGAGAAAGAATGAAAAGCAGACGAAGGAAGGTGATAATTCTATCCATCTATATTAGAAAGTAAGTGTGCTTCTGATAGATATAAGGAAAATTAGTCATGATAAGAAGTATAAAATTATACTAAGCTCTAGATATAGAGCTATTTACTGATAGATCAAAGTATTTGTACTACTATGATGGATTTTAACTCATTTCACCCTACGTTTTCGGAGATAAGTAATAAATAATAAGTTGGCTAACAGGTCTGAATCTATGCGGCCTAAAACGACAGCCAATTTACTTCATGATAAATTTTATTATTATGAATACGAAAATTAGTTGTGGTAACCTTAAAAAAGAGTCCAGTCCTAAGTTCCTATGACTCAGTCAGTCAGCTGCAACGTAGAACTTCGTACGTACGTACATCAGTTCAGTTTGCCATACCACAATAGCACAGAGACGCAATTGTGATTTCAAATCCTATAATGGTAGAGATAGTAGAAGTACTACAGGTAAAAGAGAAGATTAGGGTTCCAAGATATTATTAAAGAAGGGGAATCTAGTGAAATAGACTTAAAAAGATAAAGATGAAATGATGAGGAATTAAAAAGTCTAGGATTTCAGAGGACACAAAGAGTGGATGCACCTGCGCCATTGCAAACGATTTTGAGCCATGTCATTCAAGGTCTCTGACCATCGATTACTAGCATCTCGCGGACCCCAACCAGGTAGCCTAGATCTACCAACATAACTCAGTTCACTTGTCAGTGACTTCATGGATTTCTGCCACGTTTTGGTCTGGCCGCACCTAGCTTTCTTCCAACCTTCTCATTCACTACAAAACAAAGCTCGTCGAGGCAGTCGGTGGTTAGGCGTACGCAACACATGTCCTAACCACCTGAACTGATGAAGTTTCAATACTTCATCAATTGATCTGCCATCCTTACCTAGTACCCGTTTCCTAATAACAGCGTTGCTCACTCGGTTGTCCCAGGATATACCAGCAATGCTTCGAAGACATCTATGATCGAAAACAAGTAACCTACGAAAATCTTCTGCTCTCACTGGCAATGTTTTACAAGCATATAGTAGGACGGAGCGAACTACTGAGCAGTACACTCGTACTTTGGTCAGCAAGCGGGTCCGCGTCCGGTCCATAAAACATTACAGATAATGCGTATTTATACATTCAGGTTGAGGAGGAAACAGCATCGAAGTCTTGAAATTTTCATTTATTCCGGTCCATTCGCACACTTTTTTTATTCACGTTTTTTAAGGACGACTTGCTGGATATCATATAATATTTTATCATAATCTTGTTCGCTGTCATCTAATTGAACATATCATTTTAATCAAATAACGGTCTATCATTCCTGGATGTACTAATCAATAGAACCTCTGCAGGAATTCTGAAGACGCAAGTATTTCGGAAGCCAATCCGCTCAGTCGTTATTCCCAAAGGCGTTATCTACAACCCAAGACGTCACAAAATCAAGTTCATACAAACTTTTTTAAAGAAAAGGAAGACACACTGCAGCACATACGAAGCACCGAAAAAACGAGGAAGAACATCTCATAAATATCTTCCAAAAAAACGGCCATCCACTCAAGTTCGCCGAAATCGTCAACAGAAGCGAAATCAAGTACTCAAGTGCTCAATTGACGCGTATCATTGCAACACTTTATTTGTGTGAGACATTTTCTACTTCATAACCGGAGTATAACAGCAGTTCTCCTGAGGCTTGTCTTAGTTTTCCAACCTGAGTTCAATGAGTTTCTCTGATTCCATGCACCTCCAGGTTGTATATTTTCATTTCTGCAGCAACTTGGAATAGTCCTCCGGTCTCCCATAACGTTCGAAATTTTCATGTACCTAAAAGAATGATTGAGCTGGTTTTTATAATGTCCATCGGCCTTGTGACCTCTGAAGAGACTCGGCTTTTCATCAAGTGACGTCATAACTCTTCTGAATGAAGACCTTACTGCCAGGACAGTTTAAATGGTTTGAAATGATTTTTCTGGTTAGCGTTTTTTAGCTAGTTATTTGTCTGCGGAATGGAGTCACCATCCCCACGCCCAACCTCCCTACTTATATCCGGGCTTAGGAGAGAAAATAGCACCAGACGCCTTCAAACAGAGTTAAGAAAATGAACGAGCCATCAAATTATCTTACAGGATAATATTAAAGCAAATAAAATGAATATGCAAGTTTGCAGTAAGCAATATTCAGTCATACGTGCGCATACCAACCCCGACAATAGTAAAAGCCAATGGTCCATAAATGTTATTGCTATACCAATGATTCAGTTAACAAAGTTAATCAAAACGGCTTGATCAAATTAAATATTAGCAAATCCAATGGACCAGTAATTCCACGATTCTACGGTAGGCCGAAACTCCCCACACCCAACATTCCACTACGCCTTACTGTATCCCTCCGCGGAACCCCGACCTACAACTTATCAAGAGAAATTTCAAGGATATTAAAACATCTGGTGAATGAATCCAACTACTCCATTAAATCTACCACACAATTCTTGGATAAATTCAAAGGGGTTCAAACTGACAACGACGGAACAATGATATCCTTTGACGTAACAGCCTTATTCACTCTAATGGCGCCAAGCTTAGCTAAAGAAACTCTCTCCCTGCTCCTCACCAACCACACAAATCTGCAAAAATACACAAAACTTCAGAGACAAAGTCTGCTAGAACTCATCGATCTATGCTTAACGACGTATTTTCACTTCAACAACGAATCATCCTACCATACATAAAAGACATCGGAGCATACAACAAGACTGCTGAAACCATTTGGAATGGGTGTGACACGTAAACCAACAGAATCACTTCAATCAATCGTATCCAGACTAAAGGACAAAATGACAAAGGAACAAATACCAAATATCATTTACAAAATAAATTTCTCAGACTGTGAAAAACACTACACAGGACTAAGTGGACGGCCTCTCTTCAGCTTCGTTTACGTGAACACTAATTATCAGTTAAACGCCACGACAAATTTTCGCTTATATCAATACACACGGACAATTATGGACATATATTCGATTGGAACAGTGTGGAAATACTGGATAGGGGGAGGACAAAGAACACTAGAGAATTTTTAGAAGCTTGGCACTCAGGTCAATCAGCAATTAATAAACACATCGACATCGACCCAGTTTACTAACCAATCAGAATAATCATAGGATCAAGAAACAGATCAAAAGGGGATACAATCAAAACAAAGGTGCAAACAACGACATGTTTAAGGTCAACAGCAACCAATCAAGATCGGGGTTAGCAGAACAAGCTACAGGTCAAACGTGGAGAAATTCGAATGCTTCATTTCTATCTGAAGTTTGTGCTGATGATATTGTTCAGAAGAACCATCAAAGCTCCACAACTAAAACATTCAGCTCAGAGATCGGAACACCACGACAGTCATTCACCTGAGCTACACATTTTCTCTATTGTTTCCGTATCTTTTTCAAATTGTTTACGTAGAAATTACACAATTCACAAGATATCTAAACCAATTATTACAAACATCGCTTGTCCTAATAACTAGATATTCTTTTTATGTTCAAATTATAGTGTTGTTTTAATGTGAACTTTTTGTAAAATAAATTTATTTTGATAATTAGATCAATAAAGGGAGTAGAAGAAAAACAATATCATTGTGTTCTCATGTTTACTTCTCATTAGCTAATTGTTTTTTCTCTTAATGAATGCGATTCTGTTCCATTAATCATTATTTAATATTGTGGAACGTATGTATACAGATGATTAACTGGAAACTATAGTAACCATTGTTATTCCATTTACTGATCATCATTACTAAAGTAGTACTTTAGAGAATTTTCATATAAGTTTAGGAAAATTTGGTCGATACAGTGTACATATGACGATCGACATGACCTAACATTACAGTAAAAACTCAGAGCATAATTTTTTTTTCCTACAAACAAATCTCAAATTAAAGGACTTGTTATTGACATTTTATGGTGAAACACGGATGAACTAATACAATTTGTATGATATAACTTTCTTGTGATAAACATGAACAGAAACGATCATGTTATAAGTTCAAACTGTATAAGTAGCCTTAAATACACTATATTCTTCATTTTACCACCATTGTTAGCTCTAGCAAAGTTATCAAACAAACCTGGAGTATAAATTATTATTTTCTGAGATAAGGTTATTAGTTTAATAAAAGTACCATGCCACTTAAACAACATTTCATAATGCCAGTGTTGAAAATGAGTTTGTAGTGATAAATGTAAAAAGGTACTGATCATTATCTTTAAATACGAGTGTTTATCAGTCAAAAAATACTAGCTAAACGTTGGTTAGAACAACGGAACTGTTAGGTTTTAATGCAGTTTTTCAAGTGACTACTTGTTCCACAGGAGGATGCTAATTAAATCAATTACAATCAATAATCATGTTTCATTAAACAGGAGAATTTTAAGTTATCTAAATTTCCTCTTTACTTTCAATGAC